GAAAGTGGTACAATCAGCATTTCAAGCATCTATTCACAAGGGTAAGATTTCATTCTCCAAAAGTTTCAGTTCATACATATTCGGTTTAAATTTGATGCTTTTGCAATAGAAACATGTAAGAAGCTATAGTGCTAAACTGACAACATTCTAGATAACACCATTACTTCCATACATCTTGGGTAAACAAGAAAGCCCCTTGCAATACAAACATTTTAGAAGCTGAACTGCAATTTCCTGGATAGCATCATTCCTCCCATACATCTTCTTGGGTAAATAATGAAGCCCCTTGCAATACACAGATTTAAGAAGCTAAACTCTCCTGATTGTTACTTTTCCCTGTAACGTTCTAGATAGCATCGTTGCATACATGTTCTAGCTAGCTACTTCATTTCACTATTTAGTTAAACTTGTTTGTTTGAGGGATCTGGTTTGTGATAAACATCAACATGCATTGGCATTTTCCAGGTTGTTAAGTACTCTCACAACCGCACTTCAGAGTTCTGGTGTAGATCTTTCGCAAGCCAGCATCTCAGTACACATTGACCTTGGGAAGAGAGCAAATGGTAGATTAAATTCTTCAGCTTCCACAATCAAGGTACCTGGATCCTTTCCCCCTCAGACAATCTACACTTTAACTTTTAACCATTAAGCTAGAATCACCTTAACATCATGAGTTTCTTCAATTCAGGGAGACGATGTTTCCACGAGCAATCAACCAATTCCACATTCCATAGTCACAAGCGCGGGGGAGGAATCTAGCCAAGCCTTGAAAAGGATAAAAACCAGCTGAAGCTAAGCTGACAACAAATAGAAGCATTCATTCTGTAATTGATTTATTCATTTTTTTGGGTCTACCTCTTTTCCTTCATAAGGATGATTCAAGAAATACTGGTAATATATATAGAAATCTACCCAAACAACATCACGAACCCACTGTACATGTAATTTATTTCTTTCTTTCTTTATCATTTTGATCTTTAGATTGTTGGGCTGCACAGGTTGTCCCTAACAAGTGTGATATTCCTCCTTGAATTATTATTACTGTCCTGCCTGTATTCCTACTGAAACTGATTTTGAGAAGCCGCGGTTTTAGCTTAAGGCTTTTACTATATACATTCCCTGTTGAGTTTCAAACAATTTCTTTTCAAAGTTGATAATGTTTTTACAGGGTGCAAAGTGTAAGTCCGGCTTACTGATGAGTATTAATTAATTTTTTTTTAAATGGAATTAGCTTTGTTGTGAGAACTGTATGAACACTTTAAAAAATTGGTGGACGGTTGAGGCATATCAAAGGAAGTAAATGTCAAAACTTCATAGTAGAGTGAGATGTACAAGACAATAAGACATCCCAAACATGTGAAAGAAACAAGAAAAGGAAACTAATCTCCAAATTAAGCCGTATGGGGCAGTAGATTCTAAGACACCCTCCGAAGATAAATTCCAAGGATAATAAATGTGTATATGAGCCGGCCCCTACAATATAATAACCTTCCATTGTCAAACCATATCAAGAAAGGGACATGCATGCATATTTGGTGTCATTGTTTATCCTTTAGTTCTTGAAATGCACATTTGAGCTTTATACTACTATATATAACTGAGGGGTAGCTAGCAAACTGGGTAGGGTAGAATAATATCATACAAAAACATAGTATCATTCTAAAAGTTTTTAAGGAAAAGTAATGTGGGTTGTTGTGTACCTTAGTGCAGTGATTCTTGTAGTGGTTACTCAATGGGTGTATAGATGGAGAAACCCCAAGTGCAAAGGATTGCTCCCTCCTGGATCAATGGGTTTCCCCATCATTGGAGAATCCATCCAATACTTCTCATCCCATCCCCTAGAAGGCATCCACCCCTTCATCAACAAGAGAACCTTTAGGTAAAAATAGTAAAGACAATTCAAGAGCAACTTTAATTTAATTTGCACCATTTTTCAACAATATATAATAATGTATGATCTGATGAAGTCGGAATTTTCAATCACTAGTGGTTGAAGATTCCTGCCATCTTAAGAATTACATTTCAACCACTTATGGTCAGATCAGAAGTCTGCGAATAGGTCAGACCTAACTGACTAAAGTTTTTGACTAGCGATTACTTTCAGTGATTGGTTGGTTGGAAAAGTGATCTAAACCATGATTTTTTGTCAGACATTCTATATATACCTAGGGTTCCGACGACTTTTAGATGGTTGACAAATTTGTACTATTTGCAGATATGGGTCACTGTTCCGAACAAGCTTAGTTGGTCAGAAAGTGGTGTTCTCTACGGATCCAGAGGTCAACCATTTCATCTTTCAACAAGAAGGGAAGCTTTTCCAGCTATGGTACACAGAGAGTGCTCTCAAACTCACCGGAAAACAGGGATTAACAGTTCACCATGGAGCCTTCCACCGCTATCTCAAGAACCTCATTCTCACCCTCGTAAGCCCCCAAAACCTTAAAGCATCATTGCTGTCGGAGATGGACCACCTCACCAGAAAACACCTGCATTCTTGGACTGCCCTTCCCAAGTTTGATCTTAAAGAAGCTACTGAAACTGTAATCATTCATTCATCTATTATGTTATAAATATTTCATGCATGCATGCATGGCTTACTAATTAACTATATTTCTTTGATTATTAACAGATGATATTCAAGCTTGTTGCCAAGAAAGTTTTCAGCTATGGTGAGAAAAGGGCAATGGAGCTGAGACACTGTTACAGAGCTTTCATTGATGGCTTTTTCTCTTTCCCTCTCAACATCCCTGGAACTGCTCACCATGCTTCCATGAGAGTACGTAAACTGTGTGTGTGTGTGTGTGTATGTAAATATATAAAAGTTTATTATTTGTTGGGGTTTTGTTAGGGACGCAAAAATGCTATAAAATTGATAAAGGGGACTGTAGAAGAGAGGCGATGGATGAAACAGAAACAGAAGCATGGTGATGAGGATTTCTTGGATTACCTATTGAAGGAAGTAGACGACGAAACCACATTTCTGACAGAACAAATTGCAGTGGATTTAATGTTTGTTCTGTTGTTTGCTACCTACGAAACCACATCTGCAGCCATCACACTGGCCTTGAACTTCCTCAATAAACATCCTCAAGCTTTACGACAATTACAGGTTTAATTAATTAACATTTCATTCTAAACCATTCTTGTATCTAAATCACACTACTAGCTAGAGCATTTTGGGGCAATTCTAGTTGAATTGGTCAATCGGTTGATTTGGTAATTACAAAGTTTCAACTTTAACGGTTGGTAAAGTTGATTAGAGAGTTGGTTTGGTAACCATGCACAATGGTCTAATTTTCGGGGGGAAGAATCTTCTTGGTTTGAGTCGATCAACTAGGAGTAACTTATAATAATTTTTAATTTGCTGATGAAGATCACAAAGTATATATGCTTCACCAAAAATGTACATTCAGATAGCGGCCCTTTCCATATATAAATAATGATTTAGAGCATTTTTTAAATTTGTTGACCGTTCATAATTTTCGTAGAGATGATTGGTATTAATTTCCAGCCAACTTTGATAGGTATAGTCAGAAAACTTAATTGATAACTTTATTGAAACCCTAATTTTCATCAGTTTTAGTGATTGAAAAGGTTATTCTTGACAAAACAAATACTCTTGTGTATTGTTACAATATTGTAGGATGAGCAACAGAAAATTGTAGCAAGCAGGGAAAACAAGGACTCCCCCATTACATGGAAGGAATATAAGTCCATGAATTTCATGCACATGGTCTTCTTCAATTCTCTTTCTTTACTTATATTCATATTATTAATTAATTAAATAAATCAAACTTTAATTTTCTTTAATTTGTATGTGTTGAAGGTTATCAATGAAACAGTGAGGCTGGGGAACATTGCTCCACTCATCTTAAGAAAAGTAATGGCAGATGTCCAACTCAAAGGCAAGTTCATCAACTTGGAACTAACCACATACTCTCATCTAATGTTACATTTAGTAAATTTACAAATTAATGATCACAAGATCCCAAGTTCGACTCTCAGTGAGAGCGGTTTATTGACTTTCTTGATTTGAATAAGTCAGGCATATGTGTAACCTAGACTAGACTGATTTACCTCATATTGGTCTTTTGCATGCTGACCTAGGGTCGACGTCACAAAGATGACGGACTTAGCAATATAATGCACACCTTCGGATAGTGGCTGCATTTCTTCTCTCCCAATTAACCAACAATATAATTAAATCTTTATCGAGAATTGAATTTATTATAACCTAATGTAGGATATACAATTCCGGCGGGTTGGACCGTAGCGGTGTGTCCATCTTCTGTTCATCTAAGTCCAGACAAGTACGAGGATCCCCTAGCATTCAATCCATCCAGGTGGAATGTAAGCTACTCACACTGTCATATAATATAAGATAAGAAAATTTTATCCTTTCAATTCAATGGACTAATAATTTATGAGTACTGGAAATTATATTAAAAAGGGTGAAGAACTGCATTCTGCATCCAAGAAATTCATGGCGTTTGGTGGAGGTCAAAGGCTTTGTGCCGGTGCTGATTTTGCAAAGCTGGAAATGGCTATCCTCTTGCATTACTTGGTCACTAACTACAGGTGGAAAGTTGTAGAACAAGGGAAGATAGTTCGAACACCCGCATTGTTATTTCCAAATGGCTTCCAAATCCAGCTAACGAGCTTAACTGATTGACCAATTCAAGATAAAAGGTCCAATATATTTAAAGAATCGGGTAAAGGCTACAAGCTTAACTTCCAATGAGAGATGATCAGCTATGACCAACCAAGTCTAGTTTACATTTTTATAGTCCTTTACAAACTAGAGTTAAAAGGTTGGGTTTACCCAATGTACACATTCAGATAGTAGTTGAGAATTCTCTCGTCATGACTCAAAAAAACATTAGACCTCAAAAGTTTTAGGGTATTTTTGTGTCCACTTCATTTTCATACTTAGCTTGAATGTTACAACATAATGGGGCTGCTATACATATATATCAGATACTAGACGAGGAAAGGCGTGAAGCTGACAAACAGACAACCTTTGCTTCCAATGAAACAAAATCTATGTTGTGTACACTGCAGTTGATATAACCCTTCAATGGCAGGGCTTCTATACATGAATTTCGATTACTAAATTTATATAAACGTGTATGCTACTGCCCCCGTGATTTAGATACTACTGCTACTACTTAACGCTCCATCCTCGTTTGATGGCTGTAAACACTCCCAAGGGTTGGAGTAGAAGTAATCCTCTTCCTTGGGTCGGTCCGGAATGACCAACCTTTTAGCGGGGTTCCCCATGTGATCAGCGTGAGCTGCCTTAACAGCGTTAGAGAACTCATCCCACGTTAATGATTCACCGATATACTGGTCTATCAGATCCACCAGAAGCCTTCTGTCCAAAAGGATCGTCTTCTTGTATTCGAGATATCTGAGAATGTTTGGGCGTGGTTAAAAAAATAAAGTAGGGAACTTGTTTCAAAATTATCGATCAAAATTTCCCTAACTAAAATGTACCTGCGATGACCCTCGACAACTTTTGCCATGTTTCCATCGTATGTAGGTACGAATATATCACTCTCAAGTGAAACAAGATAGTCTAATGCAGCCATCTGGGATGAGTGGTTTTGAAAGAACCTAAGATCGGAAGGATCCAATAGTGTCTCCTTTCTAACCTGTTGAAAAGGATATGGTGAATCCGAGGAACAGAAGCTAATTAAGCAATAAACGATCGATTTCTACTTTTTCGACTAACCAGGTTTGGATAAGATGCTGCTAGACTAGCCATTCTTCGCTCTCCTCCATATATCTCTCCGGCAGCAATGTAAATTTGGATACTCGGATCAACGTCTAACGCCCTTAGTGCAAGGGCGGTTTCCTCGGGAGTCAAGGGGCATAGACCGTCTTTCCTTTTCAAATCCGAATTTATGATCTTCTCCTTCCACCATGGATAAGCATATCTAACATTTACAATAAAGCGGTAAAAAGTGAGGAGCGATTTCAATTTTCAATTCAAGGCGAAAGATAGGTGAACCGTGAACACGAGGAAACGGGTTTTACCTCATTCTTGTCAACTCTTCTACCTCGTCGTTGTTGCACCCCTGGGTACAGCCCGAGAACGCCAACATGTCCATTTCATATCTGAGATGCAGAACGATGAAATGACCCTTTTGTCTGAGAAGTCCGATAACCTTTCTACCCAACTCTTCTATCTGAGGCGTGAATTTCAGGGCGCTAAAATTCACTCGACAACGCAGCTTCTGAATCTCCAAGGGCTGACCGTTATTGGCTAGACGGGAATCAGTTCTGTTCAAGTGGACAACTTTGTATTTCCGTACGAGAGGAAGAATCTGCACCCGTTATATTATTAGCATCGTTAGGACCGGGAAAACACAACAATTGAGAACAACAAGGCCAATAAAAAACCAAACCTGATTCTCATAATAAGAAATGTCGGACCAGCTAATAGGCGCCATGGAATAAAACATTCCCAGCTCCACTCTCCTCTTGAGCCTCGGAGGTAGCTCTTTCAATATCCGAACTTCATCTCTCAAGGACGTGATAAAACGATCAACATCAAATATGTCATGGAACTCGCTGCAAGTGAAACGATAATAAAAACCAATTTCAGCATAACAAGATCATACATAGAAGGACCAAAGTTAAGGAAACACACCTCGGATCAGCCCAGAAAGAGGTCCTATCAAGCTCAGGAACTATAAGAGTAACATTCAGATATCTTGCAATCGCAACCATATCACAAATCTGCAAAAAAAGGCGAAAAATTTGGACATCAAATTCACCTGTCTCATATAGTATAGCTACTATGAACACGTGAAACTCAGAAAGTCACTTACTGCTGCCCGCATTTGATTAAGTCCTCCATTACAAGAAACCATTAGGTAACCATTGTTTTTATAAATCCCTGGATTGAAAAATAAGCAGACCAAATATAAGCATTCAAAATAAGCAAACAAGCATATGAATGTTGAGACTCTGTTCGTTTATCGTTTGATTATTAAACGAGTTCTAAAGTTTCTTCATTTACTTAATAACACAAGTAATTTACATATACACCCACATTCTTCCTCTGGCATTTACATCATCAAAATTCAAAAGAACTAAGCATAACCTATGAGAGCAGACAGAAAACATTGAAATTCCAGACAAAAACATCATAGGAGAAAGGAAAGTGTGGCTCACTCTTAGGTGGAAGAACAGTGGCTGGGACATCTCGGGCAGCATTAAGATGCATTGCTGAAATGGAATCCTGGGATAAGCAAGAAGGCCAGCCCTTCAAAACCCTCGGCCCCCAAGTCTCCCCAAAGGTAGTCAATTGAATGAAGCAAGTCCACAGCAAAACCGACGTCGTTGCCCTTATCATCCACAGCTTCATTCTTGACCGTGAAAAAATTACAGAGCTTCTCAGCTTCTCCACCCGGCTCTCCCTGAAAGCCGCCGCCGCTTTCTTCAACACCATTTTCCCTGATCCCCAAAGTTCACTCCTTTTCCCCGCTACTCGGAACATATCATTTTCCCTCACGTTTCAGAGCAAGATTGCGTCTTTGGGTATAATGTAGGATCCGAAAATTTCCAGAATTGGGTCGAGAATTCAACGAAAGATGACACCTTTTCGGTAATGTTAATGAATTCTTCAGATTCTGGGATTTTTAAATCTGACCGACAGTCTCTGAAATGGCCCAGAAACTCTAGAAATGTGATTGGAGCACTAAGACTATAGATTCTCTCCAGAAATAGAAGTGAAAGAAAGAACTATCTTTTTCGAAGCATCAGAAGAGATTCGAGGAAAAGCCTCAGTCTTTAAGCGATCACGGGAGAGAGTAACCAAAATTTTGTAGTAGCTAAGTATGGGGAGGGGAATATTGGGGATCTAAGTGGCAGAGATCTGGCGGATGTTTCGGAGAGACGGCGGCGAGGTCACCGGAATCTGGAAATGCTGGGAACAGAGTCAGAGAGGGAATGAAAGGTGAAAAATGTGAATAGAGTGAGAAAGGAGAAGACGCAGAGGCACAGGGAGAGTAGAGTAGTCGCACATTCACTGGATCGCATTCTTAAAGCTAAAACCACTTACCACTGTTGTTGGTTGGACGGTACTTATCTACTATGCATACTACCTTCTTTTACCCTCTTCTCTTCTGGTTCGTCGGACCTTTTATTTGAGTTCTCGAATTTAAAGTCGTGATCTATTTTATCTGGAGAGATTGACGATTAATGCTACAACGCTTCTAGTACCTTCGGAATGTAGCGAATTGATTTTAATGAAAGTGTGTGATACACATGATTTGAATCTTTTCTTATTTTCGTTGGGTATAACCTCAAGTTCAATAACCCTTTCTTAGTATTTATATTTACTCCGTACATGATTGCAAAAACCGCGCCTAGCAGCTAGGCGGTGGACGGCAGCCTAGAAATTCGACGAAATTGTCGTTCTAGGCGGTCGCTAAGCGCCTGTCTAGGTGCCCAAAAAAATTCTTTAAATTAAAAAAAAAAAAAAAAAAAAAGGACGCCTAGGCGTCCGCGAGCGTTCGAGGAACGCATAGCGATTTTTGCAACCTCGACTCCGTATTTTATATAAATAAATTCTTTGATTTCATACTAAGTTTGGTGGGATTAATTTTTTATGAATTAAATCTCTTATTATTTTAGTTTCGTATCAAAATTTTGATTGGAATTAATTTCTAAATTAAATTTCATTTTGTCTATCGACTTATTCGCCACCAATAATTATTATGATAAATTACTTAAATCTTAACACGTGAAGCGCGAGAAGAAAAAAAAAATGTAATTTTAATTATAATTGAGAAATGATAACTTGAAACATAGATTGTCGTCTATTTTTACCCATCTTAACATAAAAGGAAGGAAAAAAAAAATGATTGAATTAACATAATAACTATCACAAATATTATATTCATGAACCCACACAAAGAGTTGAAAAAGTGCAGGAAATCTTTGGGCAGTCGCATCATGTAAAGTCTCCATCGTTTTGGGTCCAAATGAGGCATTTTCATGGGTGACTTCCCAACTGCATCAGTCCACAAAACAATGAGACAAAAATAAAATTACGTAAAAGAAAACTAAACTAAACTTACCAAAAAAATAAAATAAAATAAATTGTTTAGTATTGGTGAGAAGCGTGTGGAAGCAGCTCCATTGGATCATGCACCAACATTTGAGAAATGTTTGACCAATCGATGCAAGACAACTAAATGGTCCACTCCAATCTTGGATCCAATCCTCCTATGTCTAGTGTATTGTGTTTTGAGCCCTTTGGTTGATCTAGTAGTCACCAAAATGATCATAAATTTGAAGGGATGAAATTTTGAAGTTCACAAAAGTGAGTTTTTATTTTCTGGCTATATTCAGGATTTTCACTGTCAAAATGTCAGATACAGTGTATGTACTTTGTTTGGATGGAACAGCTGGCATGGAGGTTTAAGGCTGCTCAATATCAAAAGACAATGTTTAAAATTTTAATTTTTGATTAAGGATGGATGAGTCATTTTCACTCAACCACATTCCACAAGTTAAAAGTAAGTGTTTATTCATACGTACTTTTGAAAATTATAGGTATTAGTGATCGAGATTTACTTGTCATGTAATACTTATATCCTGGTGACATGACTGTTTAAGATTGGCGAAATTCAACATTTTCTGCCAAGTATATTGTGTCCCGTACATAACAAAAGTTAATGACGTTCGCTTGCTTGGTGAGCCTAAAAAAGTAATAAACCAGCTCGCTTTGTCAACAAAATGACTATAAGAAAGTGAACAAGCCTAGATTTTTCTCCAACTGAAATTGAAAATGTTAATAAGCAACTCCCACGAATAGTCAAACTTGAAACACAAGATTACCCGAGATAAAAATAATATAGAGTAATAATTAATATAGGAGTCTAAGTGACATTAATTATTAAAAAGGATTAAAAAGTAAATGTCTAGCCATTAGGCAAAGGCAGAGCCGACACTATCTCGCATATCTCTCCGGGTGGATTTAGTAATCCATTAAAGAAAATAAATCTTAGTCAATATTAGTGGGGATTAAGTGATTGTGCAGTGGATCAAGTTGGATTCTCTATTTTAATAATTAATTAGGAGAACTATTAAAGGATCAGAGATTCAGAGCTTACTTTTATAAACATTGATGCGGAAAATGGGGTGAGTATAATGTGTTAGTACACCATTTTCACTCATATAAAAGAAAAATGTATGTATTAATTATCTTACTATCACCACAAAGATACAATTGATGATAAAGTGTATGTATTGTCATCTCGGAGTGCATAAGAGAATATCGATAAACACATTATCTTAACTCATAGTCGCTATCTGAATGTGCATTCTGCGTGAAACTTGTCTTATGATCATAGTCATCAAAGGACCACAAGAAAGTAAATCAGTATAGTTGTCCGTTACGATCGACTCAAATCAAGAATATCCATAAATAACCCCCACGAGGAATCAAACTTGAAAGCTAAGAGAGCTGATTTCTTGACTTAGTTAGAACATGTCGACCCATGAAATTCAGTCAATGAGAATTGAGAAATAGTTTAAACTAGTTGTAAACTCATTATTACACCTAAACCAACATATTTATTTGTTATCCATTATGACAAAGTTACATAATTTATGTACCTTATTAAAAGAAAAACCTACTTCTCTAAATATTTTACAATCATAATTTACCTTCTCCATCAATACAAGCTCTCTACTTGCTAATTTCACACTTACTATTTCCATATCCAATCCACATTTCTACCATCATTAGTATATGAGAAATTTTAAATTATCCATAGGGTCATATCCAAGATTCCAAGTAGGACAAAACATGGTGGTCTAATGGTATAGTTAGAACAAGAACACAACCTTGTAGGTACTATATTACAGTCCAAAATGACAATTATCGAAAAGAGATTCCATTCGCTTTTTTTTTTAATAAAGGTGATTAGCAATTAAGGAATCATTTTAAGATTGGTTGAATAGGTAAGCCATTGGTTTACAGGCTCATGGGTCATGAATATAAGTAGACAAGGCCTGGATAAGAATGGTTTTCTTGTTCCTTGGACCTTAAAAGCTGAGAAAATGTTGGGCCAATCGTTTGGTTTTAGGACATGCATCCTAATAGCATCAAACACTGACTATATTTTTCCATTTTCAGCCCATTTTTATGCTGCCCAAAATAACATTATATCAATATTGTATCCAATCAATCTCTTATCTCTGGAGATTTTGCATCATCATAACAAACAAGCATGATGGTTACTATTGCAAGAAATGGTTTCTTTGGGTTACAAAAAAGCCCATAATCTCTGTTTGAGTATATGCAATCGTTATGCTGTCCATGGTGCATACGGATGCCAAAACGACGTCGTTTTATTAAAAAACGTGCGTCTTCCCTTTAAAAAAAATTCAGGTTCGATTCCCAGCAACAACATTATATTGTTCATTCATTCTGGAATTTTAGTTCATAGATTATGGAATTATAGTTCATTGATTATGGAATTATAGTTCATCGATTATGGAACTGTAATTCATCGATTCTGAAATTTTAGTTTATAGATTATGGAATTTTAGTTCATTCATTCTGGAATTTTTAGTTCATAGATTAGATTATGGAATTATAGTTCATCGATTATGGAATTATAGTTCATCAATTATGGAATTTTAGTTTATATGTTGTTGCTGGGAATCGAACCTGATTTTTTTTAAGGGGAGACGCGCGTTTTATTAAAACGACGTCGTTTTCGCATCCGTATGCACCATGCATGGTGCATACTGATGCACAGCATAATTTGCCGAGTATATGTTGTGAGTAAAATCCATTTTGTAACCACAAAAAGATAAAGGGGCGTTTGGTAAATAGTTATTAGCTGATAGCTGTTAGTATGTTGACTAGTTGATAGTCTTAGCTGATTGTAGAAAAGTGTTTGGTAAATTAGTTGTTAGCTGATAACTGATTACATACAAAATAACTTTATCAAACAGCTTATCGAATAACATATTTTGAGCAGCTTTTTGAATTTTAGCATTTTAAAGCAATCAGCTATTACAAAAAGTTAATTAATCAAACACTTATATTGATTGTTTAACAAAGTGCCAAAATTGACTGATAAACTAACTATGTTACCAAACAGTGCCAAATTAAGATGTGCAAGCGTCAAAATCAATTACATCTGTCCCATGATCTGATCAAATAATTTTCTAAATTCACCCTTATGATGGATGTGCAATTTAAAAAATCTATCTCTGTGCATACTATCGAGTGCACACACACACACATAATGGGTGTCAAAGAAAAATATTATCCGTACATTTTTGTTAAAAAAATATCACATATTTCACATGAGACGGTCTTTCACAAGGCACGTCGATATATTAATAGTTTAGCACATAATTATCTAAATCTGCCAATCATATCAGAAATATCTGTCGAACTGTTTCATGAAATATAAACCATTGATTTTGAGATATTATGTCTATTTATATCGTCTTTGACCACTCATTCCAATTTGCAGAGAGAATTATTTGGCCTGTAGAGTGACAAAGGGACAGCAGTGTGAAGGCCACATGGGTCAAAGTGTTACACAAGATATTGGGCCAATATGTCGGCCCACCTTGAAATTGATGTGTCCACTCCAACCGACTGGGCCTTAACTGTCCCTGGCCCATGATTAGTGACCTCCGAAAGTGACTAAACACTCGAATTACTCAAATCCAATCTGGAACTCTTATAATCACAACATAAACCCTGCTAATTTTAAGTTTTTTAAGCCACAATCTATAACTTTTTAATATGTAAGCTGTGTATTAATAGATCTCACTGTCTCAATCTACTGAAGCTCGAACACATAACCTCTTATTTGAGAGAGTCACTTCATGCTGTTTGACTGTTGCTGATATTTTTGTAAACCAAAAACAACACGCATTGTCACCCCACGACATAGTCATTGGTTTTCAACCCGACATCTGTACTCGGTGATGGTACTAGGGTTGCATTGCAAGGACGACTACGGTACAAATTATGAGACCAACAAATCTATAGTAAATATATGCTCGAATTTTAACCACACCCGAACCGACCTGACGTCCACCCTGCACAAATAATTGTACAATTTGAACGGAGAATAGCGTTAGAGAGTGTGGGGGTGGGTTGGGGGGAGGGGTTGAGGTATCTGAATTGCCCGACACAGTTACAAGGCAACATAGACGGACCTAAATGCAAGTTGATATATAGGATTAGGGTGTGGGCCCCGTTCATCACAATAATGGGTTTACATTTGAAGAATTGTGTGGGGCCCACGGGGTAGGGGTAGGGTGGGGGGAGGGGGAAGAGTTGGTGGCATATGAAAAGGACTTCCAATAATCACCACACACCCCGGGGGAGTATCACCATATCTTTTCTAATCTTCAAGGATTGAGATAGATGAGAGGGAGACACCATATATGTTGCAAGATAGATATAGATAGATATATCATATATGCACTCAACTTGTATCAAAACCAAACCACCTTAGCTTCACATGAAAACTATCACGACAACATGTCTACTCCTATGTACGCGTGTGTTCCTTCATGTTTTGTCCATTTAGATATTCTTTTGGCGAAAAGAATTTAAATCTCACTGCATTGAACTAGAACTTGTATAAATAGGGTGTCACAGGTTTAACACCTATTATCTTGCAACGTATTAAAAGTTTAATTAGTCTGATCTGATGTTTCAGTATTTATGTAATTAGAGCTGTCAAAACGGATCCAACCCCCGTTTAACCTGTGTTTTGAACGGGTTGGGCCGAAAAAATCTCAACTCGTACTGTATTTGACCCGCCGAGTTAGACCCATTTTGACAACTCTAGTCCTTGTACAGTTGCAAGCGCAAGTATGCAACAGATTTGATACTCCAAACAAGAGCATCTCAGACATCTTTACATATAAACATAAACCTAGCCTCTGTGGTTCATGTTCAGTTAATTAGTTACCATGGTTTACATTCTCCCAGATGTTCTGTCGCGTTGGGTTGTGGTGAGCCTTTAGGGTCGGGGTTCAACTTTTTGAGAAGTATATATTAAAATCAAACCTAATATTCCAATTAATATCTTATCAATAGTGTATAACAATATTATATTCTTATAAGTAATTATAAACTTTTAAAAGTGAACTGACCACTCTTTAAGTATCATTATTATGTATTTGTACGTGCACATGCATGTATATATTTCTCTCGTGATAATATTGTGGTAATAAGAAATACGACACGTTATGTGCAGATATACTGTACTGCATGTCCAATAAAAAGTAAAACATTATTAATGCTAATAAACATGATTGAATATTTGAATATGAGCATTTAATTAAGGTTTGAAAAGTCAAATGATATTTAATTACATATTATTAAAACCAACAAAATTGTGGTGATCTAGATAGTAGGCCGGAGAGGGGAAATAATAAAGGATGTGGACAAGTACCAGAAGGCCTAATCATAGAGTCCCCACAAGAGAGCAACGTGCATGTGAATATGCCCTCTCTCATAATTCACATTCATTTCAATTCAACCATCTTCTCCTTCAACAAATATCATTTCATTTCGGACATAATACGAGATTTATTCAGTGCATATTTCATGGCTGGAAATTATAGAATTTCTGACTATCTGAAAGTGATCTTAAATTAAGTTGAAAGCTGACCATTTTTGGTATTCAGAAAAACCTTTGTTGATATTTCCGACCACTTTTTACTTTCGATTTGATTTAAGATCATTATTAGGTGGTCGGAAATTTCATAATTTTCAGTAGTGTTTTTAATAATAATAAGTTGAATTAAGTAAGAGTTTTATTAATTTTTTAGGTGAGAAGGAAATCTATCGTTAATGTCTAGTCGCATTCAGGGTCGTTGTACGCCGGCCGGCCGGCCAATTTGTGCGAAAACAATTCGTCGGTTGGCCGCCGGTGACGTATAAGGATCGAAAGAAACTGGTTTTTGAGGTGGTCGGGGAAGAACGAACGACGCAGATTAAACTAATAAAACTGTTGTTTTTACTGCCGTCCAAAAGACTTTGGCAACCACTAATCGACAACATATATAATTTCTTTAATTTTACCCAATCCAATAGAGAGAGTTTTGTGGCTCGTGAATTTTGAAGGCTTTTGATTTGACATTTCACATTCAATATGGTTTGACTTTTTTGCTTGAATTGCCATTCATCTTTGCTTTGTATACTATGCAATATGCATGCCCACTAGCCATAACAAGAGACAGAATGATCGAATCACGTAAATCTTGTATTTTTCATTCGTTTTTGTCTGTATTCTTGATTTCTTGATCCCGTTTTCTCAACGTTTCTGGTGTTGGAGATGAGCATTTTCAGCTAAACAACATTAATGGTTGAGGATGATGTTGTCTGAAGATGAGATGTCGACAGCACAAAGCGCAATTAGCGTGGCATGAAACAATTAGGAATGGAACAGTTGAGGAATTAAATGTAATTTGCTTTGCTTTGATTCGTAATTTAGTGTCTAACATACGTACGGCAGATGCAACTAATTCATCATGCATGACAGCCATGGCGCCTCCCTCTGCAACTAATTGATAATGACAATACTGGCCTTGCCAATTCCAAGTGCCCATTTTAATCGGTTATTGTTTACTATTGTTGTCAATTTATGTTGAATTATATGTAGTATAATACATGATGTTATAATCATAATTTAAGTAGTTAATTAATATAGAATTTAATACATTATAGTTTATAATGGAATTATCTCAAAAGAAGATATAAGAGTGCACGTACCAAAGGAATTCTTTTTTGAGTTATACTATATAGACTCTCAAATCATACTCGTTAAATTTTACTCTCTGATGTGGCGGCCATTGATGGACTACTTTTGTCATGTGGGTCAAAAAATAAGTGTTTACATCAAAATTTGGTGTGTGGAAGTAAAAGTTGGGAGTACATGTAATATTTTTCTCCTTTTTTTTTTGGATGGCCAGAGAAATTGTACACACAAAAAAAAAAATGACGTGACATGTGGGCAAATTATATCGTGGATCTTTGTCCAATACACAGAATTTGACTTCATAAGGTACAAAATTCATGTTTATAATGCACAAAATTCATGTTTATAATACACACACGCATAAACACGATATAATGAACATTTCTGTATATTATGTTAAGTGTTTAGTGTCATCAGCTATATAATACACAAAATTCATGTTTATAATGCACTTAATTCATGTTCATTATATCTTTCCGTGTATTGGACCAGGGTCCACATGGACTCTAATCCACCATATAACGATTGTTAATAAATTACGGATGTAAATCACGGTAACTCAATGAGCTAGATAATTTCCACACTGTTACTGTCGAGGTTCGAACTTTGGTCTTTTACTTAAAATACTGCTCACTAAATCATTTAGCTAATCCCGTGCGGGTGATAATAATAATATCTAATCCCACGGATCGTACGGTCATATCACGGTCTTCCACTGCCCCCACGCACGTCCACCCTCACAAACAGGGCGCGAATAGACCCGACGTCGTGTGGGGTTGCTCCTGTAATTTCGCCATCACGTGGCTTTCGCAGTCATTTTGGCTGTCTTCCGAGGGCACTCTCGTCATATCCCCTCTTTGATTTTTTTGTTTTTTGTCGTCAAAATATTTCAGGTATACAATACAAGTAGTTTGGGAACTTGAAAGATTTGGAAAGGGATATTTGTCACAGTGCTCTTCTTCTCTTCTCTTCTCATCTCCTCTAACTCTCAAGTCGCCAATCCGCCGGAAAATTTCATTGCCGTTTCTTTTTCCGATATGCAAGATATTCATTCGATTGGCGGTGGAGGAGGGCGGTTGTTTGGCGGCGGCGCCGATAGGAGGCTCCGGCAGAACCAGCATCACAACCTGCCGGCGTTGAAGTGCCCCCGATGCGACTCGCTCAACACCAAATTTTGCTATTACAATAACTACAACCTCTCGCAGCCGCGCCACTTCTGTAAGAGCTGCCGGAGGTACTGGACCAAAGGCGGCGTCCTCCGCAACGTCCCCGTCGGCGGTGGCTGCCGGAAGAGCAAGCGTTCTAAGCCGAAATCGACCGCTTCTGCTTCTGCTTCTGCTTCTACCCCTGCCGACGGCTCGCAGGAGTGCAAATCGAATTCTCATTCCAGTAGCGAGAGCTCGAGCCTCACCGGCACCGGCACCACCGCCGCCGAAGTCGCGTCGACGAGTACTGCAACGAATATGGCGTCGAATTTAGTAAATTACCAGGACTCCTCCTCCGCCGCCGCCTTCTTCATTCCTCCGAGCTCAAGCCCCCGATTCGATCAGCCGCTTCTAGATCATTCCACCAACGACCATATCTTCCAGGATATTGGAAGCTTCACGAACATGATCACTCCCTCCAACGAACCATCCCTATTAGGGTTCGCCGACATTTCCCCGACGTTCCAGATACAACAGAGCCAGCCAGGGCAGGTGGTCGGCGACCACAACGCCGACGCTCACTGGCCGCAACCGGAAAAGATAGCCGACCAGAATTTCAATACGCCAGGGTTTTTAGATCAGACGTCTCAGATTGATTTCCCCAGCTTGAACCAGCAACAGAGCAGGGAAACCAACGCCGGCCTTTCTCCACTGGATTGGCAACCCGCCGGTGGCGGAGATCAAGAACTGTTTGATCTCCCCGGAGCCGTCGATCAAGAATACTGGAATCAAACACAGTGGGGGTGAAAATTGAAAATTCACCATCCTCCCTGAATTTTACCTCCCTTAATCTCCTGGAATTTTTAACTCTCCAAAAATTCAGATCCAAATTTTAAAAAATAAAAAAAAAAAGGGATGAGGAATATTGTATGGATTGCTGCTCTAATATGTAAATTCAGTTTTATAATTTTCATTTTTTTATTAATGAGTTGAGATTTGGTTGGGATTATTATGTAATTTCTTTCTATATATTCTCAATTATATATATGCAACTGACCTTCAAGGCTTCATCAAAGTTTTCTTTTATTCAAAGTTATAAATGTTTTGTAACATAAATTGACTATATAAAATATTTTATGCTACTTCAAGATTAGTCAATGACTCAATGTAACTTGTTTATAGATGTTTGATTTTTATCTTGATAATTTAGATTTGCATTCGAATCAAATATTTTTTGAAGTTTATAGGATCATATTAGGTGTTTTTAAATAAATATTTGACTCTATGGGGTGTAAGGATGGTGTTTGCGTGTCATATAATTCACATATAATGTTCAATATTAATTATAGTACCTCTGTGAGTTGAGCATGCTAGAGAGGTAAATTGCGACAAATTGTGTTACGTTAATTATAGTACATGCAAATTAAGCTTGCTAGAGAGGTAAGGTATAAGGTATATAATATTATCAAAAAGTGTTTATATAGTTTATAGCTATGAAGAAAGTAAAATCGTAATGTCAAGTACCTTGTAGGAGGTTATGAGTTTGAACCTCAGTGAAAGTGTTATTAGCGGTATTATTAGCTCTTTGTGTTTCAATAGTTTGAGAAAGTAAGTATGAACATATACTACATTGTAATAAAGTCAGTAGCATTCAAACAAAAAAAAAATCATAATTTTTAAGATTGATAAACTAATTAATTTGTGATCTAGAAAGTTATAAACATAGGAGCACCTTAGTTAAATTGGTGAGATATTCAGTTTGATATATAATTACGATGTTCAAAAGTTTAATTCTTCACGAGACTTGTCTAATACTTTTTTTTTATTTGAGTTGAAAAGTTATAAATAATTTAAATTAATTTATCTTTTATAAACTTCTGTCTTACAAAATAAACTTCATCTAAAATGCTCGAAGTGGTTGTGAGTTTTTGGGTAAATTTATAGAGAGAAAGTCACGTGGTAGGTTGGTGCGGGTGGGGACCACATGCAATGTGGGTAGGATTGTGGGAAGGGAGGGGATAGAACCGTGAATCCAGGTGGCTGGAGGAGAGGAGTTGGGGTACGTGGACCGATGTGATTGATCGAGAGTGAGGGTCCAGTGAGTCGGTTTGTCTTGTAGGAGTACAGTATCAGCAGTATGTTTATCTGACAAACAAACGAGTGAGAGTGGGATGCGACTTGGATGTGAGCCATGATGTGATGAATGTGACGTAGACAATTTTCATATTATTACTTTTTTTTTTTTTGGAAAACTTCATATTATTACTTCATTTTCTTTATTCCTATATTAACAAATATTTTTATTTTAATTTTCTTTAATTATATAAATTTAAAAACAATATCTTTTAAATATGAATTAGTCTTACCAAGATACTAATTTTATATGCCAAGTTAGAGCATCCACAATTGTTGGGGAGAATTGGGGATAATGTAAGTGTGATTAGGAAAGAGAATGTGAGATTGGGAATGAGAGAAAAAAAAAAGAAAATCAAAATCAAAAAAACAAAAAAAAAATGTAAAAAGAAAAGTATGTCAGGCGCTCCGAACGGCGCCTAACGCACAGCCTGGCGCGTGCACTGCACGCCCCCGGCTGTGCCATGCTGTGCGCCAAACGCGCACAGCATGTGATCTTTCTTTTTTATTTTTTAAATTTTTTTTTCTATGCTCCATTGCTCCCCATATTTATAGAGCAATTCTTCCCACCATTCTTTCTTCTTCACACTAGTTATTCACCACATTCAAAAGAAAGCATCTGACATTATTTCCACATTCTCCCCTTAGTGCGGATGCTCTTATATTGTTGATTTGATAATCATAAAGTTTCAAGTTTAATTCTTTTCAAAAAAGTTGAACCCCAACTCTAAGGGTCCCTCACACCCCGGCCTAACAGAGCATCTGGGAAAATGTAAATCATGATAACTCAACTGAACATGAACCACAGAGGCCGAACATTTGCTTACCGCGCATAAGAAGCCTCCCTCACTTTGAGAGATTGTTCCTATACTACCACTGGTGAAATTCGATCCGATCATTCTTTTCAACTTTCAACCTTACAAGTTTAATTTTGATTGTATTGACTATGGGTAATGCCCTTTTTCTTTATCAAAGGAGGGATCCATTAATTTTATTGACAATAATCTAATGTGTTTAATTATTTCAAAAATGTAACAAAATCTTTTGTAACACATCCCAAGATTCAATGTGTATGGTGAATTAAGTATATTTTAATTATTATTGACATTATGGACACACATAATAATCATATACGGAGTATAAATAAATTTAAAAATAACCTAACTACCTAGTTTGATTGTTATCAATATTTTTATCGTCTAATTCGACATTCTTAGTGAGATTACTTATCTTATGTGATTTTGCATACCATTAACAAAAATGACATTTACCTAGCTAATACATTAGCACACAACCTCCAGTACTAAATACGTAGTACTAATTTTCCTTTTGTCACATAAAAAAAAAAAAATCCTAACAAACATTTTAAAACGCAAACTTTAGTTTTATTCTTCCAAAAGGTTGAACCCTAACCATAAGGGTCCCTCATATCCCGACCCGACAAAGCATTTGAGAGGATGTAAATCATGGTAATTTAACTGAACATGAACTACAGAGGCTAGACCTTTAGTTTTATCTTTTTACATCTGACGGAGGGGATACCCCGAATGAAAAAAAAAAACAAAAACAAACAAACTTTATATTTATTGTATATGATATGCAATTTATATCGTGGACTGTGAAGTCTGGTTCAATGCACAGAATTTGACTTCATAATATATAGAATTCATGTTTATAATGTACAGAATTTATGTTCATAATACACATACACATAAATACGATATAATGAAGACACATAAACATTTAACATAATACACAGAATTCATATTCATAATGTACAGAATAGATGTTCATCATATCATATTTATGTGTATGTGTATTATGAACATAAATTCTGTGTATTATAAACATAAATTATATACTGAATCATGGTCAACAGTACACTGTGAATCCTGGTCCATGATATGACGATTGTTTATAGGCCGAATCTGTAAATACATATATTGCAGGCCATATTTACATTAAACTTCTGGCCCATCCAATATACAAAATCCTTGCAGGGCTCAACATTTGCAGAAGCCCAAACAGTTCTTCCATCGTCTTCTCTTCTTCAAGAGCCTGGTATCGCAAGGCGCCAACTTTGCAGGGCTAGAATAGATTTCTGACGCTAATCTGTTTAAAACCCAGAAACAAAACAATAGACTTTAGCCATAAAACATGGATAATGAAGATGGAAAGATGGAGAAAAGATGACTTGCATGGGGAATGCAAAAGATTGGGTGCTGCTTGATCTGATAGAAATGCAGTCTGGGATTATCAGATGACTTTCTTCTGCTGCAGATGATGATGAATCCTCTGCGTTTTCAATGGCGAATAGTGTTGCCAGGCTCACTTGCACAGCCTTAGTCTCATCATCTTCCTCCCTTTTCACTTTTGGTTTCTGAGAGGAGGCGATACAGATCATCAAGTAGTGGTTGCGAGTTTTCCTCGTCAAAAAAGAATTGAGCAGAGAGAATTTACCTGATCAGAAGCAGAATGTGTTTCACCTTCCATTGATGATGAATGATCAGAAGAACACCCAGACTGCATTCACAACAGAAATAATGGAACCAAGAAACAGCATTCTTAATCCCAGAAAGATACACAGAAAACCCACATTGGTATTGAATAAGGTTGGCAAACATGAAAGACAATCTCCATTAGCAAGTCCTAGCTAACTGTTGTTGACAAAACTATTTCCATTTCCAGCATGCATATATCCAATTAAAGAAACACAAGTCCTATCTGTTTCATCTGCCATGCCAGATGCCTCATTTAAGTAATGCTGTAAATTAAACATGGATGGGCTAACAATCATGAATCATGGTATGCCTCATTTCATTAAGAAACTGTACTATCGATGAACCAGTTGGAGAAGTTACCTTTTATATGTTCAAGAATTGATGGCACAACCTGCAAAAACCAGCAACATTAAATATGTTGGCAAAGTTGATGGGAGAAAACAATAGACAGAAAATTAAATTCTTAAATATATCAAAACCTTGCTTGAGATCAAACATCAAAAGAAAGGATGTTGATCTGAGGAATCTCTCTCTCTCTCTTTCTCACAAACCTTCAGTTACAGAGAGGGAATTGAAGTGCAGGCATTATGATCTGAGATTAATGTAATGTTTGAATGAGAAACTTATTAGTCAATGTTTGGATGTAACACAAAACCTTATTAGTGAATGTTTGGATGTGAAACTTCACTTTATGGCAAAGAATAAAGTAAATTCTTAATGTTCTCTTGCTAATAAGAATGGTTAGATTCACAAGCTCAAGTGCTCAACTGACCAAAATCGATTTTATCACTTTCTGATATTAAGAATTATGTTTCACTCATGTCATCACTTATTTCGTGTCTGACAGGATAATGGTGCTGGCACCCGACCCGGATCATAAGCAGCATCTGACCCGACACCACATGGAAACCCAACGGGCAAAACTCCAACGTGCAGAATTCCAACGGCTGTCACCTTTACTGCCATTGAAGCCATCATTGATGTCACCATTGATGAGAGAGAATTAAAGGCTTAGCTCCTCATTTATGCTTCATGTTGTTACCGTTAGCAGCTTTTGTATAAGTAGGGGCTCCCATCAGCTTGGAGGGGGACGTTCAATACTCTGGACGAGGACACTGTACTTTCTATATTGAGACAAAAGGCAATACAACTATTGTTACTCTCTTATAACGTTATTATAGTATTATTATTACCGGTAACATTATTACCGTCATTGGTGCTTTCATTGAGAGCCTGAGTCCAATACTCAAGCAGGCTACGACACACACAACTCATTCCTCTTTCAACAGCAAGCTTGAAAGAATGGTGTCCCGCAGCTCCCATGGTTCCCGCAACGTGAACAATGGCAATGCCTCAGGTGACCTCCGGGACCAACTCACCAACAATCGCGGAGGGGACCTCCGAGAACAGCTCAACAATGGGAGGCCCGGGGACCTTCGAGACCAACTCAACAATGGAGGGGACCTTCGAGACCAACTCAACAATGGAGGGGTGAACCAAGCCGTGAACCTCCAGGCGACCGCCGATGTCATTCAGCAAGCAGTGACGGCGGCGCTAAATCAGGTGGCGGTGGAACTGCAAGGCCAAGTGCCCCCACCGCGGCCCCAGGAAATAAGGGTGGAGACCCAAAGAAGTGGAGCCGGCAGCTATACGTGGGAGAAGTGGTGAGTCTTCCTAGAGAAAAGAAACAGAGACAGGAGGCCATCACCTTCTTTGATGATGACCTCCGAGAGAGCCCGTTACCCCATCGTGACGCCCTGGTGATTAAGATGGACGTCAACGATATCATGGTCCACCGCATCTTAATCGACACAGGAAGCTCAGTCAATGTGATGTATTACGATGTCTTCACCAAGTTAGGGATACCTAGGAACCAGCTCAAAGAAGTATGTACCCCACTCTCTGGATTTACGGGTGATTCAGTGGAGATAGAGGGGTCAGTGGTCTTACCAGTGGAGATAGGCACGAGCCCTAACATTCGCAAACTTGACGTAGAATTCATCGTGGTAAGACTCGCTTGTGCGCACAACATCATATTGGGGAGGCCGGCACTGGAGGACCTCAAGGCCATAGTGTCGGTGGAACACTTGTGTATAAAGTTCCATACTTCGAATGGGATAGGGGTCGTTAGAGGAGACCAGCGAGCAGCCCGCAGTTGTTACGTAAAAGCATGCAAAAAGATTGGCAGAAAGGATCTACAAGTCCACACCATCTGCAAGGATGATCGAACGGGTATGGAGCTCAGAACATTTAGTTAGATATTATTAGTAATATTTTGTAGTCGTGGTCCGCCCAGACCTGTAAACAATATTTTGTAATCATGGTCTGCCCAGGTTACTTTGCTCAAATAAAAGGCTCTCCGCACCACCTTCGATCAACCAAAAGCCGGCCGACACCGCATTGTAAAAAAAAAAAAAAAAAAAAAAAAAAAAAAAAAAAAAAAAAAACCAAGGCCGAGGCGCACGCCTCGGCCCAGCGCGGGCTGAGGCGACGCCTCGGCCCAAGGCACGACTGAGGCGGCGTCTCAAGCCGAGCCGTAAAAAGGCCTGAGGCGCGCGCCTCGGTCACTGGCCGAGGCACGCATCTCGGCCAGCGCCCACGGCTGAGGCGACGCCTCGACCAAACCCGGCTAAGGCGACGCCTCAGTCGAAAAAAAAAAAAAAAAAAAAAAAAAAAACGCCAGGCGCACGCCTCGGCCAGGCGGAGGCACGCGTCTCGGCCTAGGGCCTGAGGCGCACGCCTCGGCCACCAGCTGAGGCAGCTCCTCGCCCGGGGCCTGAGGCACATGCCTCGCGGCGCCTCCGCCTGTCCGTAAAAAAAAAAAAAAAAAAAAAAAAAAAAAAGGGCCGGAGCTCGCCTCGACCACGATCGGCCAAGGCGCACGCCTTGGCTACGATCGGGGCGCACGCCTCGGCCACGGTTGGTCGAGGCGACGCCTCAACCACGATTCGCCTTGGCCACGATCGACCGAGTCGCACGCCTCGGCCACGAGCGGCGACGCCTCGGCCACGAACGATCGGCCGGGGTGCACGCCTCGGCCACGACCGGTCGAGGCGACGCCTCAGCCGTGATCGGCCGGAGGCACGCACCTCGGCCATCCTAAGCCGTAGCCCGTCTCGGCCAGCATTAAAAAAAAAAAATTCATGTGTGATTTGGAAAATAAAATCACATACTCGGGATCAACCGGAATTTTGCACGATATCGAGCAAATTCAGTCTTACTCCCTAGTCAACTCAAACACATCCGTAGACTCAGGAGTAGGGGGGACTGGTGACAGGATAATGGTGCTGGCACCCGACTCGGATCATAAGCAGCATCTGACCTGACACCACATGGAAACCCAATTGGCAAAACTCCAACGTGCAGAATTCCAACGGCTGTCACCTTTACTGCCATTGAAGCCACCATTGATGTCACCATTGATGAGAGAGAATTAAAGGCTTAGCTCTCCATTTATGCTTCATGTTGTTACCGTTAGCAGCTTTTGTATAAGTAGGGGCTCCCCTCAGCTTGGAGGGGACGTTCAATACTCTGGACGAGGATACTGTACTTTCTATATTGAGACAAAAGGCAATACAACTATTGTCTTTCTTATTCGTTATTTTATATTATATTTCCGGTAACATATTTACCGTTAGTGTCAAATATATTAATTAAATATATTATGTATATGCAAGTTATGGTGAATCATTAATTGAATATTTGACTAGTTTATCTCATAATAATTTTTTGACAAATATGATTATTAGACGAATGAACTTATAATTTTCAAGTAAAAATATACATTAGATAAATCATATATTATAACTATAATCAACTTAAATTACTTATAACTAGCTTGACTCAAATTAATAGCCGAAAATCAACCGCCTAACTACCTTAATTGAGTTGCCCCGCATAAAACATTTTTTGACGTTGTTTCTGGAAGCCGGCTGGTAGTGGTGGGGCCGGGTTCAAGATAAATAATAACGGAATTATTGAGAAATCAAGGGGTAATTTAGTCCAAACGAAACTCGGCTCTTTCCTTTTTTGCTGTAACGTAAACTACAAAATTTTGGATTTCAATTTTTCCACTTTTTAAAATTGGAAGAAGACTTTACTCTCTCAGTTCATAGCTTTCCAGTATCGCCGGAATCCAATCCCCCCACCCACCCACGATGTACGACCCACAGCACTTGGTTGATTTGCACGACGCCGCCGACGACAGGTTCTGCGGCGACGGGGCCGACCCACGTTCTTGGCTTTCCGGCGACGACCACCACTCCTCGCCGCCGGATTCGTCTGCTCTCCACCGCACCAATTCCTCGCTCTCCGCCGCGGCGGCGGCGGCGGCCAATGTCGACCCGAGGCTCGTCACTGACATACTGGAGATATTCCCTCTCGTTCTCTCCCTCATGGTAAGTGTTCCGTGTTCTTTTGTTCTTATTCATTTCCAGCAATTTTTAAGTAATTGGTGAATCGATCCTTAGCTCCTTACAGAGTTACAGCTATTGAAATGGTGAAAAGTTTGAATTTTTATTCCTCAGCTTTGGTGAATCAATCTGATTCGCGGATTTTGAGTGCTTCTGTGAACTTTGGGGGGGGGGGGGGGGGGGGGGGGGGGGTGCATTTTTGAATCTTTGCTTGTGAATTTTGCAGGATCGGAAGCCAAATGCTTCGTTTACTCGCAGGGGGTCAGTGAACTACACAAAGACACCTTCTAGAGAATCTTTGTATAACAAGGTTTGTTTCTAATTTCAGGTCTGAATGCTGGAATTCATGTTTTATTTTGCTCAAAATCTTCACTATGAGTTTAGAATTCTTCTGTTCCTGCTTTAGTTTCATTCTTAGTGAACAATGTGCTTTATATCATCTCTCTGTGTTTGTCATTTTGACTAAATGAACTGAAAACATTCCTGCTTTAGTAATTATAGTTATAGGCAAATTTGATCATGTTTGAGACCAATGTTGTTTTTTGAGAAAGTTGTCTTTTTTTCTTTGTGAGTGGACATAAGTACATAATACTCGATCTAAATGTGTAAAGATACAAAATTTGTTTTGCATAAACGTAGCGAAGTTAGACATTGGGGCCATGGGATTGGCTTCTTGCACATTTCCATCTGATTGTAGGAATGCCAGAAATGTGTTGATAAAATCCTGTAATTCGAAAATTTGGTTATTCTCTGAGTTCTTTGAAGACCTTCTGAAACTAGAATCAATTTTTGGGCAAATCGCTTAGATGCTTTCAATGTCAACAAGGTTTTGGACTTTGGTTGCTTGGTCTTCTTTGGAGTTTGGATGACGAATCTTTTTCAGGCTCTTTGAGTTTGCAAAGTTTGCTTCTTTTTCTTTCTGTGATTTTGGGGTGCGGTTTATTTCTTTCATCTTTACTAATGCTCACAATCCCTGTAGAACGCTGAAGCAAAAGGAAGGAATGCAAGTCAATCAATTCTCACAAAAAGGCAGAGGGACCAAAATAAAAATGTTGGCTCTAATCTTGATGGATGTTCGGACAGCTTGTCAGGCTTGTCCTCGAGGTCTTCACTATCGGAGAAGGAAAGAGAAGAACTCACTGCTTTAAGGGAGCAGGTCGAGGATTTGCAGAGAAAATTGTTGGAGAAAGATGAACTATTGAAAGAAGTCGAGAATTCAAAGAACGAGATAGCTTCCCTTCATTCCAAACTTGATGAAATGCAAAAGGAATTTGCTGAAAAGGACTCTTTACTCAGATCTACTCAAATGCAGCTCTCCGATGCAAAGGTGTGTGTACATTTCCAAATGCATGTATACTCAAGATATTAAGCTGTGCATCTATTTCGCATTAGATTTAGTTGATTACCCACAAATGGAAACTCAATTAACATTTATAGGAGTTATCACTACATTGTGAATCAGAAGTCTTGGATCTATGTTCTCTTGATGTGTAGTATTTATATTGATATTTCAAACGACTATTTTGCATCAGATAAAGCTAGCTGATAAGCAAGCTGCCGTGGAGAAATTAGAATGGGAGGCAACAACTTCCACCAAGAAGGTGGGGAAGCTCCAGGAAGATCTAGAAGCAATGCAGGGAGAGTTTTCATTATTTATGAAGTTCCTAGGAGAGTTGACAAAGACTAATGTGACCCAGCCTGACGAAGAGTATTATGAAGATTACGACGCTTCTTATCCCTGGGATGACCCGGGCACTGAGGTATGCTTTGCTAACATCGTTGCAAATCTTATCTGTGAACAATTTATTTTTGTTTTCTTGTGAGGGTTGTTGAGCATATAACCATTAATGTGCAATCCAACTATCAGCTTAGGCTTTTAGTTGAGATGGAGCACATGCTTCAATTTGGTGTCAGATCTACGGCACACGTAAGGGGGCGTGTTGAGCATATAACCATTAATGTTCAATCCAACTATTAGCTTAGGCTTTTAGTTGAGATGGAGCACATGCTTCAATTAGGGTTTTTGAATTTCATGATTACCATTCTCTGTAGCAGGATGATCTCGACAAGATGCAAAGCTTGGAGGCAGCAAGGGAAGCTTACGTTGCTGCCTTGGCTACTGCTAAAGAAAGACAAGATGAATCATCCATTTCTGCAGCTGCCACTGCAAGAAAACATTTGGAATCACTAGTTCGTCTGCTCTGATAAAACGAGAACGAAGCAACTTACTGTAACTCCATTCCACATATTGTGTGTTAAATCAGTTCTAGAGACAAGGGTTTTCTTAGATATTTAGTTGCTTATCCCATGTAGGTTTGAACAAAAAAAAAAAAAATAATAATATAGTCTGTTTTGTTTTGGATGATGAAATCTTTGAAATGTAACAATGGTGACCTGCACTTTGTATTATAACACTCATTTCCTATTAATGCTATATGCCTTACACTATTCTATTGAAACTTGTGAATCATGTTGTATATAGCAAATGAAAGTTTACATCATAAAGTAGAACTAGTCCTATGTGCTCCATCTTCATGCTTCCATAACCGGAACCCTTGGTCGATCTGCCATTACAGGTCACTCAAGATCTACAACAGTGTAAGAAAAGGTGGCACCAACTTCTGTGCTTCTTTAAGTATGTGCTTTTATCTTCTTGTCTGGGAATGTGAACTGGACTGCCCACCCATTCCCACCCTAATCTGCAATCAAATCAAAGCTCTATAGTATACAGAGAATCAAGAATTCATGAAGAGAATGTTGGGATGGAGTACTTACACTGGGAAGGCGAAAGAGCCTTTGCTAGCATTTGATTGATCGCAGTCGCTTGATGATTCAGAAGAAGTGAAAATTGTGTCTCTAATCCCATCACTATCTCTCCATTTCTCTTTACCCTGCAAACAAATTTCACAGGCTACAATCTAGGCCAGGGAACCCACAGGAAAAAACTAAAGAAAGGTTCTGTCACCTCTTCGAATGATATGATCATCTCCGGTTCATTTTCTGGGTAGATTTCTATGTCACTCCCACAGCTCACCCCTCTTTTCCTGTCTTCCACCACACCAGTATCCCCGTCGCCAGTAAAGTTGAAAACTATGTAATCTTCTGCTTCCAAATGCGGCCAACTCGTGTCATCTCCACCGGCTTTTTCTGTCTCCTGCAATTCTTTGCCTGTGTCACCATTTATGGGACTGGGATTCATGTTCTTGGCAGAAAAGTTTGTGTTTTGTTCTTTCTGTGTCAAACAAAAACATCATATGAAGAAGAATCCCGGGAAGATTCATGAAAGATTGAAAAGGTAGTTACCTGGTGAAAACCTACAGGCATAAAGATAAGATGCTCAATCTTGAATCCGCCATGTTCTTGTAACTGTAGAGTTGTGCAGGAGTATCTCCGCAGGTTTTTCTCCTTCTTATATAATACTCCGTATATAATATATCCAGAGAGAAAGAATGTAGGGCTTCTAGAAGTGTGATTAACTGTCATTATGAGGAAATTAAGGTAAGAAAGAGGGAATTGAGGATATTTGAATTTTGAAAAAGTGATGGGCACATGAAAAAGAGAATTCCAATTACATTTGCATGATGGAAAGAGGAGATTTATTAGGAAAACTGCCATTAATTCATGGAAGCTTGCAAACTGTCATTAATTCATTAGGGCAATTTTAAAAATTCACATGGACATTGTTTAGCCCTAATGAATTTTTCAATTTCAATTTTTTAGCCCAGATTAATTTTTCAATTTCAATTTTTTTAGCCCAAAATTGTTTAGATGTTCCTCCCATTGTCCATGACAAATTATACCATGGACTAGAATTCACATTGCAAGATTCAAATTAAAATGATATTCATATATATATTCATGGTATAACAATTGTTTACTTATAAAGATTTCTGTTTCCTTATTTCTCAAACCTTAATTATCAACTAAATTTATTTTCCCATACTAATTATTAATTCCTCTTTCCTTATTTCTCAAACCTTATCAACCACATTTATTTCCCATATATGTAACATATGACTAATTATTAATTTTAAATGTTATTATAATAAATAACATATGCTAACTTTTATTGTAAAAATATAAAATATTAATAGAGAACCCGCTTAAGACTACACTAGTAGTAGTAATATCATATCAATCATTCTCAACAAAATTAAGATGAAATATGATGATGAAACAATTTATTTGTAAATTTTTAAATTTTTTAGATGACAAATGAAACTTGTAGCTACTATTAAAGATTTATATAATAGATAAACTTAACTCTTATAATCTTATACTTGGCTACCTAGTTGAAAAGGTAGCTAAAAGCTTAAATGAAGCAAAATTGAAAAGTTATATACTAGGAGCTGAAAACTGAAGAACATAGAAAAACAAGAGGGCAAAGTTGTCTAATTTTAATTTAGTAATGTATAATGGTGACATTATAGCCAATCACCGCATCCATTCCATGCATGGAATACGTCTTGGCCAAGCAATATCCCCGGGCGAGCCGGAACGCGCCGGTGCCTCCGACGACCGGCAGTTCCCGCGGGCCGTCCCTCATCACCGGATTCCGTCCGGCCACGGTGATCGAACTGCCGTTGTAGGGCCCACTCACGAAGGCATACGTAACAGTCATTTGAAGGGCGAACTCATCGTTTAGCGACGCGGCGGCGGCGGCGTACAACCCCTGAGCACGTCCTACGAGGGTTGAGTTTAGCTCCGGTGTGGCGGTGAGAGGGTCGTCGAAGACGTAGATTGATCCAAAGATCGACGCCAGAGGGTTGGAGCTCGTGGCGTTTGACGGCGGCGGGCCGGCCACCCTAACGGCGGTGGGATTGGGGCCGCTAACGATGTCGTGCAAGTAGAATTGAAGTGTGGAAACATTAGCGTTTTGGGCCTCTGTTGGGGAAGAGTAAGCGGCTAGCAGAATTGCCACAACAAGAAAACACAAACACATAGCTTTACTTGTGCTCCCCATTAGCCTAATTTTCACTTTAATTTGGTGAGAAATAAGAGTGTATATATAGACACACATGCATATTTCATGACCTATCGACTTTAATTTAGTTGAAATAATCAAATTTAGCATCCTATAGCTGGGTGTACCTTTGGGACAATGCACTGATGACAAGGTCATTGTTCAAGTGAATCCATTCCTCCTCATGAATCCATATAGAAAGATCTGAGCCATTAAATACTTAAGATTAATGATTTAGATTTCGCCAATTGTGCACTTCACTTACACAGTTGAAAAAATCTATACCATTGATCTCAAGTATTCAATAATCCAGATCTGTCCAAACAGACTCTATGGGAAGAGGTAGACTCATTTGATCAACTATATATCAACTATAACTTTTGGGAAAGTAGTGCAGATGGAATCAATGATCAGTTATAACTTTTTGAAAAGTCTTGAAAATAAATACAGAATAGGTCACGAGTTTGGGAGGTGGAGCTAGTGTGCATTCAAGACATGATGCACAAATTAAAGCTTGGCTAAGAACTAGTCGAAGTGTAATGTGGTTAAGACTATGGTATCAAGAAAGATTCAAATGAGTTACGTTGAAAAACAACATGCATGGCACCAATTCCATTCAAGGCAAGTTTTAGATATTCTTCTTGTTAGGGTGTTGGGAAATTAAAGGAATTGACACTTGGCCGGACAGCTTTTAGTGGTTGTGCAAGCATTTTGTTGCATTCCATTGTTGTTTTTTTTTTTTTCAAACCATACGTATGAAAAGTCAACCAAATTAAAGGAGGAAAAGAGCATACAACAAACTAACTACCCAAAGTGGCTTTGTTCAGTGGTTCAGTAAACAATATTTGAAGGAAGAGATCAAAATTCAAATATTAAAGGCAGTAGTGTGGAGATTATGCCTAAAGTGGACAGATCCCTTGTGCGTATGATGAGTTATTGAGTCACCATGATTTACATCCTCCCAAATGCTCTGTCGGACTGGAGTGTGTGGGGATCCTTAGGGTTGAGATTCAACAGATCTCTTGTACATCTAGTGAGTCATTAAGTCACTATGATTTACATCATCTCAAATGCTCTGTTGGACGGGAGGGTAGAGAGTCTTTGGGATTGTGATTCAACATTTTGGGAGAAGACAGGTGGTCAAATACGTGAGATTACAACTCTAGTATTGTATTTAATAAAGGTCACGTGTTTAATTCTTGGTCAATACTTTTTAAATTGAGTCCTAACTAGTAAGATTTACTTTTGCTGCCTGAAAAAATTTTACTGACATAATAATCAAACCATAGTTTAAAATTACAAAGATCATATTTGTGTGAGACCGTCTCACGGACAAGGATCCATGAGACGGTCTCAAACAAATTTCTGCCAAAATACAATATTTCATAAAAAGTTTCTATTTTTTGCTCTCATTTGACTAAGCTAAAAGCCAGAAATTCTTATGGCGCTTAGTGGTGATGAGATATCCTCCATACTTTCTGCTTTTCCTCCTCACTGCAACTGTCATACAGTCTGCATTTTGAATGCAGTAATTGGTGATCTTACTCCTCCCTGCAACTCTCACCATTGATCTTTTCCTCTTCCCCAACACCAGCAGATTCACCCTCTGTTGCTTAGCTGCTTCAACAATCTCTACCCCTTTCTCCTTTCCATTACCTTCTTGCACCACTCTCTCTACTTGCACCTATTCCACAAAATGTATGAGGTGAGACGAGATCGAGAAACCTGCAGTCATTACTCGACAATCTGCACTCGGTGATTTGAGCCAATATAGAACCAGAATGAGGTAACCAGTACTAGGTTATCCATAGCTAACCGACAGAACTCAATTACATAAGTGTTGTTTGTCCTATCACTTACCCCGGGTCGCATTGCATGGCACATAGTTTCCATTGAGCAAAGAATTTCATGGCTAGCCCTTTGATTGAGTACACTATCGGAGTTTCCACCTGCAACATCGGAACAACATGATTGAGTACACCATATATAGGACGATGATGTTTTACCTTAATAATTTACGCTAATTAATTAAACCTTGTTTGCAGGGATTGGTTACAATTCGCAGAAGAACAACAGTATCCTGGCTCTGAACAGCGTGAGAAAGTGCCCATTGCAGAGCGCCTTTAGCTTCAAAACTCCGATTAACCACAACCATCACTCTATTACCGCCATACCCACTCTCTTCCTGCTTCATTTCATCGCCATTGAAGCTCATTTCTGCACTGTTCTTGCTGGAAAACTCAGACTTCTCGTCAGGCTTCATGATCATCAGGTCGCCGGATTTCTTGTGTGGTTTAACCGCCGGCGGCCGCGGCCTGACACGACACGCAGCACAACTCAAGAAGAATCCCAGCATTATCTCCACCTTGAATTTCTCGCGCACAAATGATGTTTTCTGTGAAAGGTGAGATCGAGAAGTTTGAGGTTGTGGAAAGCATTATTATAATCTTTGGGTTTTCTGATTTGTTCTTGACGACGTGCTTGCCATGAATTGAATTGAAGGTAGAGGCGTTTGTTGAATTAAATGTGTTTTAATTATTGGTCAGCCAAGGAGTATTATAATTGGATGGAGAAAAAGTCTTTGTTTTTTGGTCTATTTTATTATTGAAATCTTAATGTGGATAAGCTACCATATTTATTATTTTTATATATCATATTTTCCGATTTCGTTAAATTATATTTATACATTTCTGCGGGTTGAACTCCTACCTTATTACTGTAAGCAAATTTTAAGTGAGAATTTTCACCACTAAACCAATGTCTGGGGAGCAACGACCATATTCTCCCCTACCTTATTGTCCTAGTTTGGCCCAGAATTCATTTTTTTAAATTTAATTTTTTTCTGTTTTCTTCTTCAATTTCTCTACTTTGGAATTATTATATTTATTAATTTAGAATAATTAATATTTTGTAAGAAATAATTTGTAATACCAACAAACAAAAAAGATAATTTTTAAAAAACTTTCAACTAAATACCAACAAATAGATCCTGTAAAATAAATCATTTTCAAAAAAAATATATTTTCCTAATTTTTAAATAGACTCTTAAGTGGTACCCATTATTTGGACATGGGTACGAAGTATGCGTACCGCAGACACAAAAGTAAATGCCCAAGCTGTGCAATTCGTACACATATATAACATCCAATAATCGAATCTGATTATATATGGCCCATTGGTTAATTAAGTTGTTTTCTTTTATAGAGACACTATAATATGATCTCGGATGTGATTGAGTGAAGAGACTCATCTTATTTTATCTAAAGATTAAAGATTCGATCATTAGCTTTAAGTATGGAGTAGTCTAGAAAATTAGTCACTGTATGTGTTGAGGAAACCATGGGCTCACCCAACCCAAAAAAAAAAAAACTATAATATGGATACCAATAATTTTGTAAATTGGACAAAAACATGTACGTATAGAGAAAAATATATATTTGTTCACACGGTAGCAAAACGGCGTCGTTTTGATCAAAAATGCGCCGTTCGTTTTTTTTTTTTTTTTAAAAAAATTCGATTGCTGTTAACGACGTTATGTTGTGCATAATTTGAACTATATATCCAGAATTAATGAACTATATATCCACACCGGTTACTGATACTTTGTTTTGGATATATATAGTTCACTAATTCTAGATATATAATTCACTAATTCTGAATTTATATCCAAAATGAGTGAACTATATATATTCACACCGGTTACTGGTACTCTGTTTTGGCTTATGACAGTTCGATGCGTCTGTGTATTCAGAATGAATGAACTATATATTCAGAATTAATGAACTATAAATTCAGAATTAGTGAAATATATATCCATAAAATGCATAATATCTTAAGAAGAAGTAGACCTCAATTGACAATGGTGCGAAAAAAAAAATTGATTGGTGGAGTTAAACGGTGCCACTAACGGCACCGTTACTCCACCATAGTGAAACGACGTCGTTCGCAATCGTGTGCACCATGCATAGTGCACACAGTTGCACAGCATAACGATTGGATCAATTGACAAACACCTAAGTGCCTATGTAAAAGTACATCGCAAGAAACTACCAAGTAAAATAATTCTTGAGCTGCACTTTTACATATCATCATGGGGTGCATATGTTTTTAGTGCATTTTTAAATATCATATGATACATTTTGTAATTTTGTGTGATACATGCATGTTTACAATTGGACGTGCATTATCCGTCGATCGATATGGATCTCTTTTCTGTAAACTTTTTTTTTTTTTTTTTTTTAATTTAACCACAAGTTTTCTCAGCTAGTCAATTAAGACAATATATTTACAGTAATTATTTTCTTATCAAATTATAAGACCTCAAAAGCAAGAAAGCTTTCACTCATGAATAAACTGGTTCATTTGATGTATTATTGGTTGGAAGTTTGATGCCATTTTTTTTTATTGAATTTTATCATTAGTCTTTATATATTTATTTATACATAGATCATATCAAATATTATGTAAAGAACAAAAAATGAAAAGATTGTTCTGAAACCGTATTAATATGTGTGAGTATAATTATCATATTTAAAGATCACGAGTTCAATTATTTTCAATATTTTTCAGGTATGCACACTCTGAAATAGTACAATCGTTGCAAGTTTCCTCTACCATCTAAAAAAAGAAGAAGATTATTTTAGCTAATAATCATTCACACATAATAAGTTTGATGATGCATGGCACATACTATAACTTCATACAATTGCATAAAATATTAATAATATGTCCCGAGGTACATTTGTTGTCCAATGTTTATTCATGATCATATCATACATAAAATATCATATTCTTGTATATATAACATCTTAATTGTATCATGAAGACTTACTAGGGATAGCCTCAGCAATAATTACAGCAGTAAAAGTAAAAAAAAAAAAAAACAAAAAAGACAACAAAACATACACAAATATAATACACAATGTTAATATCTGCTGTTCTTATTCAAACATCTATTATTTATAGTTCTTCAGAGCATCCACCCAGGAATGAATCCATTAATGTTGTGTGCTGATGAGACTTCAGCATTTATCTCACCAGACCCAACATGATGAAACCTGAAAACAAGCAAATTAAGGTTTGATGTGTTATTATTATAGTGTAAACATTGTTATTTAGTATCCTTAAACACTGCTAATAATTAAACTTTCATACCCTAACTGGGATGTTGTTGAGTTCACTCCCACAGGCTGAAAGAACCCCAATGCAGGTTGCTGGGGAATAGTGGCGGCTGTCCTCTCCTCCAACTATATATCACACCATCAAATCATTTTAAGCGGGTAAAAACGGATTTTAAAGTTGAGAATTATTCGAAATTAATGAACTAAAAATAGAGCAAAACGTTATTTATTTATTTATTTTTACCTTCATTTTTAGGAGATTATTTGCATCTACCAATGCCAGCTCCTGAAATTATAATAGAATATAACAAAAGAAAATATATATTACTCCATAGTTTTGGAATACATATATGTATATACTAGGAAGACTCTGTATAGCGGGCTCGACTAAGAGGGTGTTCGTGATCTTTAGATACGAGAATTATATTAGAGCTGTCAAGACAGACCAACTCAACCCATATGGGTTGACCTGTCTTAGGTTTATCCAGAAACGGGTCGGTTTGAAAATTCTCCAACCCAGGCTCGTCTGAAATACGGGTTAAACAATAGGGTTGGACCTGTTTTAACAGCTCCAACGAGAATGATATTGTTAGGATCGAAACTGGTTCACAACATCAAATTTACAATAGCAACTTGAACTGAAAATATTGAGAATAAATTCTAGTGTAAGATTTAAAATAAATCATACACACAGCAAAGAAAATTGAAGAAGAATTTTTTTCTGTATTGGCAAAAGGATAAAACAATAGGAATTACAAATATAACTCTCTATTTTTCTCTAGCTATACTCTCTGTATATTTCGTATGAGATGAGAAAGAATGGGATGGGATAATTGCCTTATTTATAGCCATTCATGAGTCTAGAATTTTCCAAGCTAGAACCCAAGTGCCTATAATGCTATTTCTTACTCTGCAAGTTTTCTCCAAAACTTAAGCTCAGAACTAGCCCCTTAGGCAAACCTCCACCCAATTCCTTTGGGAAATCTCCTCCCAAAATCATTCCAGGCAAACTTCTGCCCATTCCACATTATGAATTTAATATTTACAGATATCCACTCATGATTATATTTCTTATAAGATTTTGGTGATGATAACAATATAATATTACTTTGGAGTAATCAAAATTCTTACCTTTTGTTGGAGCTCTGCAAGCTGATTCATCATAGATTGGGTCTGCAAATCCCAAAGGAAAGAACAAATCATCGCAAACTTATAGTAATTGTTATAATTGTTACAGACACAATAAAATTTTCGTTGATGTATAAGTTAGTCATAATTAGTTAATTCAAGTAATATTTAACTACCTTTGTGGATCGAATTTGGGTCAAAGAAGACTCTACTTGGTGCTCAAGATGCCCCAGATCCTTTATGCTCAAGGGACCAAGATCTTCCCCAAGAAGGTTTCTACAATCAAAGAATTACAATCAAATAGGTGCACCATATATACACAGCCTTACCCTAAATATATAGTAGGGTTCAAGCTATATCATATAACTTAGTAACTTAAGCATTGAAGTATTATATTCTTTTTTGTTTTTTTTACGAGAATGTGAGATTGATAATGAAAATGGCTTTAAAGTTCATTTGTTGTCACACTTCCCCAAATATTGAATGTGAGACTTTAATTAGTTGATGGACGTTAATCAGTTCACCTTTGAGATCGTTGCAGGAGCTCAACCTTAGCCTTTAACTTCAGATATTCATGGTAGTTGTCCTGTTCCAAAACACTGTCGTCTTTATATATGCATCATCATCGTATTATTCGAAAGATATACATAGGTATCGTCTCACCTGAGTGTTAGATTGGTTGGCCTCCAGTGAAGCATAATTGCAGTGATGGTACTTTTCCAGGGTCTTCATCATGCTAATTTTTGGGGAAAAAAAAAACAAATAATAAGTAAATATAGTTTTTTTTAGACGAGAGAAATCCACAGTTATTATGGACTGGGTATTCCGTTCTTGTGTAATATGACGCCAAACACACTAAAAAGATCACGTTCCACTGCACTCACTCGCCCACTCCTTTCAAGGCAAATAGAAAGAATTATTATTCTAGCTTTATTCAAGTTGTTGGTTTGGTAACACAAGGTTCAAGGTCGACTTTCTATGGGGCTTATTGTTCTTATTGGTTTCAGTTGAGGTCAAATATGGACAAACTAGATTGGTTTTCATTGTCCTTGATTAACCTAAGTTGATTTACTTGTGATTCTTTGCTGGCTAAGATTACAAAAAAAGATTTATCTAGTGTATATTTTCGAGTAATAACTGTAAGTTTGGCTCGTCATCCAAAAAAAAAAGGAGTATTATAAAAAGATTCAATTTATTAACTAGTGGTTTCATACAAAAACAAGGTTTCCTTCATAGTATCACCTAATTACACAATGGTTAAAACCCTACCTGGTCAGATCGATATTCCATCATATATAGGAACAATTTTTATAAAGATTCCATCATATATACATATTTATGTGCGTATGTATGTATAGAGAGAGAGAGGGCCAGTGGGTGTTATTTAAAGATTTACAGACGCTTTGGAGAAGCAGCCTACCCAGATAGCCTACTCTTCCCTCCCACCTTGGAACTCAAAGAACACAGATAATACAACTGTAATCTGTAGAACATGACACCTCACCTTTGTCTTCTGCAGATCAAATCTTAACAGTGATCCATTAAACAATTTTTTTTTTTTTTAAAGAAAATCATCAAACAATTAAATGCTGAAAATCCCAGCAAGTGATTCAAGCAAGAACGCCCAATTTTGCGATTTGGGAGTTTGATCTAAGAGATAGAATCCATGGATGCTGACAGAATTCACCCAACAACACAGGTTTACGAGGAAATTAAGGATTACAGTGTATACCTAGCTAGGAAGGGTTTGATGATATGAATATGTAGAGAGAGAGAGAGAGTACCTAGAGCTGCTACAAAACTCGAAGAGTTTACCACGGTTGGAGAAGATGATGAGAGCGACCTCAGCATCGCAGAGAATAGAGAGTTCATAAGCTTTCTTGAGAAGCCCATTTCTCCTCTTAGCAAAAGTCACCTGCCTGTTTATCTTGTTCTCTATTCTCTTTAGCTCAACTTTTCCCCTTCCCATTTCTCTCTCTCTCTAGCTAGCTGCTCAGGAGATCTTTCTCTTTCACTTTCTCTTTTTCTCTCTCAATTAAGTCTGAGTGATAATGAAGTAGCAGTACAGGTATTTAACACACTCTTTTGAGAGATGATGGTATGAGAGAAATGATCTGAGTGGTATTATTCTAGACTGAAATGGTAGCTATTAAGAAGACACTACTTTTTTGGTAGTGCCAGGAATTTGAAGGGGCAGTAGGTGCCTAAAATGGAGCAGAATGAAAGGTGGAGAAAGGAATAATGTAGTGGCCTGGTAGTGAAGATGAACTATATATGGTGCATATATATAAAAGTACATAATCCAGAACCACCTTAACGAGCGAACTGCGAACTTGTAAAGAATTGCACCGTACTTATTACGTGATTGCACCACACCTGGATACGATTGCACCACAAGGTTCTCTAGACATGTCTGGGAACCGTAACAATGCAATCATGTAGACAAACTGAGTTGGGTTACCTTTTTATAGTTCTTTATTGACTAAGGTTATAAGGCGGTCTTCACTCAGAGCCCACATTTGAACATGTTTATGTTGTAGACTTCTCTGTAAATCAAAGTATAATCTTGAAATTATTTATTATGAAAACAACAAGTATTAGTAAACTCTTCTTATAAATGAATTTTACAATAATTTGATAGGCACATTCATAGAGAATCTATTAAGGGTGTGGATTGGATGTTAACATACCGTGATTAGTATGCACACTCTACTGCTGAGGTTCAAATCTTGACCTTTTTTTCCAAATACTGTATATTGGACCTGTAAGTTAAACATATATAAACACAAATTTATTTAATTAATGTTCTGTTTTGCCCTAGTTTGGAGGGACTGCTTTAATTTACTGTTCTCTGAGGGTTTCCTTTTGTCTTGTTTGGGCAAATTAAAGTTTCACATCACATTACCTTACGGAACGACAACCAAACAGTGATATTCGGCCTCGTACGTGTCTGCTCCTCATTCGGAAATAAATATGTAATAACCAATAATTACCATTAGCAAAATGTTAAATTATGTTTCTAATACATAATTTTGACTAAATTATAGTCTCCAATTCGACATATTATTCTTATAGACCTAAATCTACTTTATAAGTTAGACTCGAGTCTACAAATATACAATTTATATACTGAATATTCATAATTTTTATATACTAAATGTTATAAAAATACCAGACAAAACACAACTATAAAAAAGGACCTACTACATTCAACTACAGACTAAGATGTTAAACTGAGTATGACTTATCAATGTAGTGTGGGCTTTCAAAAATATCGATTGGTCGCTTTTGTGTGTGACATTTTGGAAACCCTTTCAACGTAGTGAACACTTCACTATATTTTCAAGTCATTATCAAATATCTCTAAGCTACTGTAAGTCATTAAAGCACCCCATTTGAAATTCAGACCACTCCTAAAATCACCTATCAGATAAAAAGTTTATACTTCGTAATATTTTTTTAAGATTAAAGTTATAATGTTTATGATTCAATTCAAGCATTAATTTAGTATAAAACAAATTTTAAATATTTATATATTCGGCTTGAATTTTGCATCAAAGAATGGGTGGAGGCTCAGACCAACTAATTTAACTGTTAGATTGGGCGGAGGCGTGGAGGACCGAGTTCAACATATGTTATCGAAACATGGTGTTGACTGTTATGTAAGTATAAAGAAATAAAGTTGTGTCTTTATTACTAGCTAGCTATATCTTTAATTTTGACATAGTGATAATCGCTTAACTTGACAATTGGTATTAGAGCAAATGCTTGGAAGGTCGATTCCAACATCCATCATAAAAAGCAGCATTGGCGTACTACTATACAAATACAGAAAAATAAAATTGTGTTTGTCGCTAAGTAGCTATACTTTTTTTTTTTTTTTGAGGATAAGCAGCTATAACTTTTATGTAGCGATAAACATTTGATATTGACAGTGTATGACAGTGTAAGATAGTAAGGGTCGCTTTTAGCTTAAATAAAAGACTCAGTTCAGAATCAAATATTTAGAATGCAACTATCTTAAACTCAACCAAAATGGGCAAAAAATGCACTTTCTGAATTCTTGTTCATGGGTTGATGGACTGGAATTCTTTTAATTTATTGTAAATAATTTATTTATCTATGGATATATTTCTACTATATTTTCTTTTCCATTTCCCCTTTTCATCTCTACCATCCAACCCCATAAGAAAAATCTTGAAACAGAATCCATCATATCCTTTGCATATAACTTTATCATCCATCGTAATGTCAAGTCAGAAGCTGTGGGTTTTTATTTCTAAAATATTTTCAGCCCGACAACGATTATCTATTTCACATCTTAATTATCATGACAAACGAGTTTTAATTTATATTCAAACAAATTTTTATATAAAATTAAAAATATATATTGCTCAACAAATTTTCTTTTATTGTATATTGTGTAATTATAATTTCAAAATTTTTACCAATACTCTCTCAATCAAACCCATTATATACGATCTATTTAATATAATTTATATATTTTTTGTGGGTTATTAATTCGGTTAAAGTAATATTTTATAAATAATTAAACGTATTATTTAAAATATTTGGAGGTAATCCCAATTAAATTAATTAAATTATTTACATAGAATTTGAAGATTTCAAGTTTAACTATCAATATAAATATTCTATTTTTTAAAAATCTAAATTAATGTAGACTCTTTTACCTCACCCGTCACTCAAAATGACAGGGTGGTAACTTTAGCATTGGGCTTATGCACTGTAAAAACGGCTGTAAATTTACGAGAGGATCAGGTAAGGCGACAGTTGACACGTGTCGCAATGAAATAACCTTATTATCCAACGGTAACTCTAGTGTCTTCTACTTTTGGTCAGCCAATCACGACGCATGCCTAATGGATGTACAAAGGAATCAGACCTCGGATTTGGTAAAAAATAAAATAAAATACAAATAACAAAATATAATAATGCAAAAAGAGGAAAATACATCTTCAATTTATTTTTTTCAAATTTATTTTGGAATTACAGTAATGTTTCAAACGATTATTGTGAATTTTGAACAGAACATAAAAGTATAATTTTTTTTTTTTGAAAATAACATAAAAGTATAATTAATTACTGTAAAATTTAAATTATTTTAGTTGATTTTGTATAATGATATTAATATGTGGTAGAATTAATGCTGGATAGATTATTTGTAGCGGGAGAAGGGTGGATGAGTACCTTGAGGGCCTATATTGAATTTGATTGGGGCTTGTCAATATGAATTGAGAAAGCGTGAAGTATTGAGTTGAGACAATTCACAATTGATGTTCTTGTCGTGCTTTCTTTTCAATTTGATTTGAGTGTTGATGGTGGTCCTCCCTCACTTTTGTTGGTACAGATGGATGATATTCGATAATTTTCTGGTGCAAGGGAGGTGGGGTTTCCTTCTTTGATGATTCATAATAATTCTTAATGTCACTTTTAATTTTATTAAGCCGCTAAAGTGACAGATTTTAATTCATTTGTCAAGATTTAAGTAATACAAAAAGATTAAATGGAGCACATGGAAATGCAAGACATGAAGAAAACTACATTGTACCTTACTATGTATCCCGAACAATGATGAAGATAGAGATGGCAATATAATGCAATGCATTGCAATTTGCAATGTCGTCCTTTCTAAACTCAATACGGGTACGTATTGGCTAACGTTATATTTAAATTCGTCTTATTAAAATTGAAGAGAGCCGAATATTCAATATTATTTGACTCGTTACCATCCTAATTATATATAACCTCTATCATAATGTGTCAATGTCCTTCATAAGTTTGGAATTGCAGAAGTTGGGCTATATCCACATTCTACAGTCCTCTGATCAACTCCTGCTAAAAGTTACATATACTGTGTGTCTGCATATATAGTCTCTTCCTCCTGCTGCAAATGGTCCATCCAAAGAGGTACAACTAATGAGTGCATTGGTTGCATGGACTGGATCAAAAACCATTTTCAGTCCCCCTAATATATATTGGAAATTGAAGACTTGTGGGTGCTGATACATTTGCCCATTTGAAGATCTTGAAATGTTTGTAAATAGCACACAGAATGCTGGTGCGCATAAGGGATCTGTTCACTTTGGACATAATTCCACACTGTGACCGTCAAGATTCGCAACCTGAATCTGGTGCGCACAAGGGATCTGCTTACTTTAAACATAATTCCACAGTGTGACCGTCAAGATTCAAACTTTGGTCGCTTTTCCAAAATACTGCCTACTAAACCATTAAAGCCCATGCGGGCATATGATATTTGATTTGTTTCCTGTGATGGTTGTTTTTAACTATTTGAGTTTTCTCTCACAAAGCTAACTGTCATACCTAGCCATTCTTCAAGAATTCAAGCAGCATAAACACAGAATCCAACAAACAAAAATAAAACATTCCTAAAACATTAAGAATCTGAGTCTTTTATAAGCTGATAATCAAAGAATAATATGCTCAATGTATTTAAATCAAATGCATAAACATAGATAGTCCAAAGCCTTCTGCAAAAGGATGGTCAAACAAGATACCACTGGCACAAGCCTATGCCTCTGAGAAATCTATATAATATTTGGATCTATTAATAATTTAATGTCTACTTTTTGCTGCCATTTGGTAACTTGGTGGCACCTCCAGATGGGTTCAGCTCATCCCAAGCTTGGATCCATGTGACCATTGCATCTGCCAGCTTGTTAAAGTAATCGTCAATCTTCCCAAGCTTCGCTTTCACTAGCTTCGCCAGCTCGAGGTAGCACACCTGGACACTGGTGCAGTCCTTCGGGAGAGTCACAGTCTGGAAAAACGGGATCAGCTCTTCTTGCCAGTAGATGCCCTTGTATTCCTTCTTAAGGTTCACGAAAGGATTGCTCGCTTTGCTGTGCCAGATGTAGGGCAAACCGGTCTTCACTCCTAATCCGAGGTGGTCACAGATCACCTGGCATCGGGGGAACAATAGTCTTTTGTAAATGAAACGAACGAAAGAAATATACTATATAAAACTTCATGTAAGTCGTTAGTATAATGCAGGTTATGCAGATATAAGTGTTTGATTAATTAGCTTTTTGTAACAAATT